TTATTTTAGCCACAGTCCTTATAATGTACATCTTTGTGACAGCCTGTTCTGAGTTCATTTCCCAACAGGCTACCTGAGATGAATACGATCTAGACTTTAGATTGTAAATTTGGTTGTATGCTGTGAGGGCTGGCGATTGTGACTTATTTTTGACAATGGTCAGAAACGAAAATAGATTGTGGGAAGTAAATTGTTTTCTTTTTGGGGTCCTGTTCTTTCGCGTCGGCAAGTATCAAGGGGACGTCGGCTTCTGGTACGGTCTGGAGCAGACGTGTAGCTCGTGTGTTATAATATAGTAAAGTTTAGACGTTGTGGGATGGTTGCATCATCCCACACGCATATTCCTTGAGTAATAGATCTCATGCGCTTACCACAACAACAACAACAAGCATCATAAAACAAACTGTGCCGAACCTACCTCAGCTAGTCGGGATACAAGTGCAAAAAGAGGTGGGCGGTTACATCTTTCTAGGTTATTTAAATTTCCTAAAATTTCAGGTCACTGTTATCTTTTCTAGAATTCGTACCGCTGACAATTCATGATCTTCGACGTTAGCTAAAAAATAATCGGTAAATTAACTAGGAAATAAATTGACAAATTTCAGTTCAGTGTTTTTTGTACTCTTGCCCCGTAACGTTTTTGGCCCTCACATGTCCCCTTTGCCATCCCCATCCCCTGTACTAACCAAGAGACCTAAAGAGCGGCTGTTGTAAGAAAATGCAAGGGGTTGGAATCCGAGCCAGATTGTTAGAGTTGTAACAGACAGCGCTCTCCTGTGGGAGCTGTCCTCTTGAGTGAGTTGAAGAGCTTACAAGTACTGGAAGCAAGTCAAGGGGACAATATTGCTGCAAGCAAACGTAATTGCCTGCACTACATTTTAATCTTTTTAATGGGAAAGGAAAGAGTTAGGCCCACTCTAATCGTCTTGTTGCATTTAACTGACCAGCGTAGATATTTTAACCCTATTCATTATGATACTTTTCTACATAATGTGCGAATAAACCTTTTAGAAATAAATGCTCTTCAATTAGATCTCCACTGGATGAGGATAGAAGAAGTTGAAAATTAATAATTATGCAGTTTAATGGCCTACAGCTGTGTTTAACTTCAACCAATAAAGAATTCGGTATATTAAATTTACAATATACACAACCCTGAAATTTCGTACCTTCGCTGTGTTCGTAATTAGTATGTAAAATGCCTTTGACACAAAATCTATATATGTATTTATGATATATTTTTACACAGTTAATTAGCTGTCGTCGTGGAACTAAAAGCACTAAAGATTTTGCGATTTGGTCATATTGTCGTTTTACATTCTCAATAGAAATGCTGACTCCTATGCCACAACTTGCGGAACCAAAGGCCGAGAAACGCTGCTGTACGGGACTCTGTTTACAAGTGTCGACTTCCTGAGATTTTCAAGTTCGTTACTAATTACATGCTTCAAAAGTGTGGACGAATGTCATGTAGCTCTTGTTTACCGGTTGATGAAGACCACAAGATTGTCATGCATGCCACTTCATCACCACTAAACGACGTGGTTTATCTAACGTCCTTAATTTCATGTAGAAGAGTCCTTCTTGAGAAGCTCATAGTTGCTCAGTTAGTCTAGAAATTTCCTGACTTTTACGAAACCCAAGGTTCAGCACTGCGTTCGCAAGGGATCGCCACTGCATCGAATCCTCAGCCATAAAAATCCATCCCAACCTTCAAATCCCATTTCTTAAAAACACACTTTAATAATATTCCCATGTATGACAATGTGTCCAAGGTGGCATCTTCCTTTAGCGATGTCAACCAAAATCCTACAAACATTTTTCATTTCCTCCATGCGACCTACATGCTCCGCCCATTCTCTTGAGCTTCACTGAATCTCCCAAGTACGAGGTCTTGTTTCATGACGTAAAAACGATGATGTCCTCATTATGTATGCCAATTTTCTCCCCTTCTTCTCAGGTCCAGATATCCTATTCAGCATCACGTATTTAAACACAGTCTTTCTTTTTCTCTTAGGATAAGATACCAAGTTCTACACCCATACAAAGTAAGAGGTAAAAATTTGTATATCTTAATCTTTATATCTTTTATACGAAGCGTGGAGATAAATGATTATGAACTAAACACCAAGCACTCCTCGAATTTAATCTGTATTAATTTATATGCCATTAAGTGATTTTTTTCTTTTTAACTGCCATTCCCAAATATTTTAATTTCTCGCTATTTCTTACTGCAGATTATACTAAACAATAACTCCATATTTTTGTTATGCTTCTCAATAGGAAATCATTCATACAGTACAGAAATGGCACTCTTGAACGTGGTACAGCTATTACTTTGCTGAAGTACTATGTTACGCCATCAAGACATGGGAGACGAGGAGGTAAAGCTCCACGCATTTTCGCCTCGGAACCAGAAGTGGGAGTTTGCGGTAAAACAGTCCCTAGTATCAATTGAATAAAATACTTGGATGGCCGCGGGGCGTCTTTGATGTACCGTTGAAGAGAACAACCCATACACCTGCCGGAAATCATTAATGTAGTTCAATTTGTAACAGTCTTCTTAAAAGTTTGAACATGTCTTTAAAGTTAGTAAATAAATTAGTCCAAAAAATAAAAAAAAATTGCCGCGTGACTAAATATCGCAATAAGTTACCAGGACGAATTACAGATGCAGAAACTTTTTTCATATTTGCAACACGAAGAAAAATTCAGGTACGATTGCAAGGGAGAAAAACCAACACGTCGTAGTAAAATGTTCTTAATACATATGGAATAAAAGTAAAAAATATATATGTAAATACATAATTAATATATTGTCTTACTATTATTTAGTTTTCCACCGTTTTTTGAACTGAATGAAAATTATTATATGTAAAACTGTAATTTCAAGTTATATTCACTCTTTAGCAGTCGACACTTTTTAGAAATATTAGTTGCGTTTAAGAACATGCTGTAAGAAGCGTCTTTAAACAAAACAGCGTCGCCTATAACCAGCGCCTTTTTGTGTTCAGAGGCATCATTCAACGTCAAAAGGAACAGGTGGATCACAATATAAATGCGTTTTCTCTGATACTTTGAGGCGCTGCACACTTTCATACATACTTTATTTTGTTGGCAAAACGACACATACTATCTTCTTATTTGCAAAAAGTGCCGTTTCCTTGAAAGCTTCGAATACAATTCTTCACTGGAGTTTGTATTTTTAACTTACCCAATAAAACAACTTGTTTAGCTAACCCTTTTAAATTGGAATTAATCTAAATCAAATTAAAGAATTTAGTCCGTAATGCAAAAATCACTTTACTTCACCATTACAAAGACTAGGTGGTTAACGCTGTTTAAGGAAATTATCCCAATTTACACTGATAAAAACATAAGACCCACAAACAAAAAATGTACGGTTTTTGGCTGTTAAAACAGGGCATTCATATAGTTCCCAGTGAACTTTAAAAGACTTTATAACAGATACTTTCAGTGACAGTCTTCTCTCTCCCCATTTAACGAAGTGTTTCGTTTTCCTTTAATAAATATAATACCCCATTGCACGAAAGTATGTACCTACATGAATATCCTAAAACAAATTGGCCAGTGGTTGTGTGCTTGATTTTATGAGTGACATATTCCGACACATTCAAAACTTATTCAAGGATGCCGTTCATTTTGTTCCAAGGATTCCTTCTTAAGAGTAACTTAGATTTGA